GATTTGCTCAAAAGTCCCAAGCTAGGACTGGAACCCTGATCGAAACTTATAGCCCAGTCTGCTTCTCTGGCATCATGATGATCACAGCTCAGTATCACCCAAACTTGCGCATCTAGGTGGTGAAGTGGATAGAGCACCGGCCCTGGAGTCAGGAGCACCTGAGTTCAAATTTGGCCTCAGACCCTTGACCATTACTAACTGTGTGACCCTGGGCAAGTCACTTAATGCCATTGCCTATCCAAAAACAAACAAACAAACAAAAAGTATCTCTCAAACTTTGAAGGGAGAGAAGGACAAGTCTTGTCCATTTACTTTCTTGCAGTGTTTCTCATGTATTATAGAATTGAATGCAGGCCCTGTTTTGTATTAGGGTGGTGGGTGCTATGCCTTATCTGGAAATGGCAGATCCTTGGTTACATAACTCAGAACTGAGCATCAGGAATGATGTGAATCTCTTCAGAGAGACCAGAGATGAGCAATATAATTGAAGTTTAGCAGGCAGAACCGTAATGAAAGGTCAATGGAATCGAGCGGTGGGTGTCAGTGACAGCAAAAGATGACAGGTAGGGTGTGTGAAGAAGAGCTAGCTGACACAGCTTAGGAGAAGAGCCTGTCAAGCCTCCTTCTCTGGAGATTTCCTGGTAAGCAGGGCCCTGATATCTCTGCTGTCAGAATTTAGGGAAAGCTCACTTGGAAACAGGGAGGGGGTTATGGAGATATCTCCACCCCAGCGCCAAGAACAAATAGTATTCGCTCTTCCTCAGTGGGATGGAATGTCAAGAATTCAAACTGGTAGAGTCTAACTTTCATATAGATGAATATTTAAAATGGACTGCAATGTGACTAATATCAGTATCAAAATAGGGTGTTCATATTAGAAACCTGTAGTTTTCAAAAGGGCATTGGGATATAAGAAAGAAAATCCTGTTTGCAGTAATAGGAAATGTGTAATCTCCCTCTCCCTCTCCCTCTCCTTCTCCCTCTTCCTCCCCCTGTCTCTCCCCCTCCCCCCTCCCTCCTCCTCTTCCTCCCCCTGTCTCTCTCCCTCCCCTTGTCCCTCTCCCTCCCCTTCCTCCCCTTCTCTCTCCCTCTTCCTCTTTTCCCTCCCTCCCCCCCACTGGTGGAAAGGTAGTACAACTATATAACATTGACCTCATCAGCATTTCCAGAGTACCTGCTTAAAGGACTAAAAAGTAGTGATGAGAAGTGCTATTTTTAATGGGTTAGCTTAGATGGAAATTAGGCTAGGTAATGATGTTGCTTACCTGCATGACCACTTAACCCAAGGCTAAATTCCTTACTGCCAAAAATGGGACAGTTAATGAAGTTGTGGCTACAAACCAGAATGGTGTTTGAGAGATTAAGTGGGATTTTTTGGGGGATGTTAGTATTTACAGAACACCCAAACACATCATCTTTATGAGACATTCAGTGACATTTAGATTTCGACTTGGATAATTTCCTGGATGTTATTTTAATAGCTGCAGAGCTGATTTTGGCAGGGTTACCATTAACCAATTAAAAACATTTAAAAACATATTTTCAATGTTTGTTCCACTAATTACTTTCTTGTGACTTGTAAAAGAACTTGCCTTCACTACCTGAATGCAGTGGAGAACACATCAGCAGAGATTCCTGGGCTCTTGGAAGATAGAACTGCCTTGTGATACTTCTGTGGCAAGGCCCTTGACATGCTCCCAAAGTGGTGCATTAAAATCACAAGCTGATTTTATAATATAAAATACAGCTTTCTTTATATCTTCTGTTCTTATATCATCATTTCTGGACATATCTTACCATCTTCCATTCTCTAAGCACTGTGCAGTCTCCCAAACCTCAGTCAATGTTCACTTATTTAAAAAAAAAAAAAAAAAAGACCAGATTACAGCAGCTGTCCCAATCTCTCTAAGGAAAGAGGAAAGTGCATTTCCTCATTGATGATAACATCCGCCCCGCCCCCTGCCCCTTCACAGTTGAGGCAAACATATCATCTTTTTTGTTTAGGTTTAAAACAAAATTATATAAAATTTTTTACATTGCCAATATAGTTGGTTTCTTGTGGTGACATATAGCTATCCCAGCAATTATTATTGCATAGTGATTTCATTACCCTTTATTTTAAAGTGTGAGTATATGTAACCCTTTAAAATCATTTTTGCATGAAGCTTTGTGCCTCTATTATGTACTGATTGCTTTTATTTTTAAATATATAATTTAATATAATTTCAAATCCATCCTGTTTGTCTGTGATCATTTCTAGCCTTCTGTTCTCTTCTGCGCATTTAAAAAATATGCTTAAATAACCTTTTTCTTCTTCCCTTTTCATTTTAGCTACTGTATCCCTACCTCTCCCTTACCTCGTCTACCTGAACTCCTTCCCTATGAATAAAAAGAAATAAAAACAAAATCATAAATCTGTCGAGCAAAGTAAGTTCTCACATTGACTGTGTCTCAAAAATATACATCTTTTTCTGCATTTTGAGGCCATCAACTTTCTGTCTGGATGTGGATGGCATGCTTCATCATTGGCCCTTTGGAATCATTTCTGATAATTACATTATTGCATTAAGGCTGTAATTTAATTTGGGAAGTATGGTCATTTTTGATGCATTTGCTCATCCTAATTATTAGCAGCAGATACCGCCTTTTGTGTTCATTTCTTCCTTGGTTTTTGTCAAAATTATTTTCAAGTTGCCTTTGAATAAGTATATTTTGTACTTGGATGAGTCACTGTCCAAACTTTTGATTCATTTTGTATTGTAATGCATTAGAGGTATCCTGGTATAATGAAGAAAGGACCTGGGCTAAAACCTCATTTCTAACAACTGATAACTCTTTGACCTTGGGCCAGTCACCTAAATTCTCTGTGCATCAGACAGGGCCATCTTCAGTCATCCTGCTCTATATCTTGCCACTAGACCCAGATGGCTCCACAGCAGAAAGTGAGGCTGATGACTTTGCACAGTCCTTCCTCACTTAAATCCAATTCACTTCCAAATCATGATATCAACTTCCTGATGTCGTGGTTCTCTGTGAGAATGAAGGACAAACAACAACAACAACAGTCTATGTATGCATCAGGAAACTCCCTAGGACTTACCAACTTAGTCTTAGATAGATAGTAGAGGGAGATTCAACACTAGAAGTTCCCTAATGGAAATCACTCTTGCATACTTTGCATATTTACTTATTTCAATGTTATTATGTTACCATTTCAGTTTTTCTTAATTCTTGGTTAAATATAGAAAGGTATACAAATACCCAAACACACACACATATATTTTTCTTCCTGCTACTTTAGTGTATTCCACATGATTGGGTAACTTATTTGTTGTTGAAAGACTTTAAAAATGGGTTTATTCTTTTATAAACTCTTCAAAATTTGCCTCTCAAATATTCGGTTTTTGTTATACTTTGTTATACTATGGTTTGATGCTAAATGAACTCTTCACTACTTCTGGCAATATTATTTTTATTATTATTGTTGTTACAATTTGTAATAATAATTTTTGCTTATCTGCATAGCACTGGAATTTAACAATGATGTGTCTAGGCATGTTAAATTTTGGGTTCCTACTTATAAGAGTTCTGTGAGATCTTTGATTATTGAGTAAAATATAGATTCCAAAACTTTTGTTTTTCTGTATTCTCTAGGATGTCAGTAATTTATATCATGATCTTCCAGTTTTGTCAATTGTATCCACGTTTTCCTATATTTTGGACAATTTAATTATATTCTTTGTTCATGTAGAAGTAGCAAAATTCTCTACATTGTGTGGAATTCTGTTTTCTTTTATGCTAAATCTAGTTTATGGTCTTAGGAAAGGGTATTTATTCCATTGTATATATTGTTCATTTTCTTCATTATTACTTCTTATCCTTTTTTCTTACTACTTAAGTCTTACTTTCCTCATGGAATTTTTTTTTACTTGAAGGTTTTTGAAAAATTTGGTTTTATGCTTCTCCTAGGCTTGGCAATTCTTTACTAATTTCTGGGAATGTGCCATCTATCCATTTCAGGACGTATCTTGGTATATCTTATATGGCTTCTTCTTTTGTCTCTGTTACTTTTAGTGCTTTAGCAGATTTTATTGCTGTGTAATATTTTTATTTGCACCACTCTTCTTTCCTTTGCTATTTTTTAATTTGAGTTGAATTTTAATTTCTTTCGTGATTTCTTAAAAGTGATTTCACTTCTTTTTGATATTTGAGTCTTTCCTTGAAGGGTGGAAGAATACAGACCCTTTCAATTCTCTCAACCTAGCATCTTAAGTCATTCTCTGTTGTGAGTTATTTCCTTGTAACTATGGCATCTTGATACATTGCATCTTACAATAAGGAAAATCCATTGAGAACCATTTTATTTTGATTTTTTTCTCTTTTCTCAGGATTATTCAGGTCTCTATGTCCAAAAATAATGTATTTGTAGCAACTTATTTTTTTTTATGATTGCAAAGAACTGGATACTAAGGGTGTGCCCGTCAGTTGAGGAATAGCTGAGTAAGTGTGGTATATGAATGTGATGGAATACTATGGTGACATAAGAAATGATGAAGGGGACAATTTCAGAGAAACCTTGAAAGATTTATATGAAATGATGCAGCGTAAAGTGAACAGAACTAGAAGAATAATTTATAACAACAACATTGTAAACACAAACAACTTTGAAAGGCTTAGGAACTCTCACTGAAATGAAGACCAATTATGATTCCAGAGGACTCATGAAGAAACATGATACCCACATAGGTGGATGATAGACTTTGTGCACATTGAGACATATTTTCTTTTAGACATCTCAAATGTGGTAATTTGTTTTGCTTGAGTATACATGTTTGTAACAGGGATTTTGCTTTTCTTTTTCAATGTGGGAGAAGGTGAGAGGGAAAGAAGGAAGATTTTTTTCTAATCGAAAAAATAAAATTTGATTTAAAAAAAATGTCCAAGGAAGCACTTTGAAAGTTATCCTTTGAATCTGACTTACTTATGCTCTTGTCTTACAGTTCACAAGGGTTTGGATCCCTGATCCTGATGAAGTCTGGCGATCAGCAGAGATAGTGAAGGACTATAAGGAGGGTGAGAAGATTCTTCATCTTAAACTTGAAGATGAAACTGTAAGTGTTCTGGTTGTAAATGGCCTTGATTGATGATGAATGGAATCAAACCTTAGATTGAAAACTCTTCAGATGTTAAGGATTCTGTGTACATGTAGTTCCCTATAGAGGGAGTCTCTTAAAGTCCTAAGGCATAATTTGATACTTAGTAATTGCTTTTTTGTGTGGTGGTGATAATACATTGGAAGTAATAGGTGTATTTTAAGAAAGGGCTACCAGGAATATATTTATAAGCCATATTTCACCAGTACTCAAAGATATTCATGGTCAGAACTTTTTCCACCTCTAGCCTTTTTTTTCCTGTACCTCTCCTTCTGTAATATTAGGCAGAAGAGCAATACATATTTATTAGATACTTACTGTGTACCAGGAATTGTGCTAATTGTTGGGAATTCAAATACAAGCAAAAAGAAAGGTAGTCCCTTCCCTCAAGGAGCTTACATTCTAATGGGGGAAACAACACATAAAAAGGGGCTGAAAGGGGATAGGAGGAGACCTGCACAGGGGGCATGGTGGCAAAGTCTAGAGCAAGGGTGGGGAACCTGTGGCCTTGGGGTCACATGTGGCCTTCTAGGTCCTTGGGTGCAACCTTTTGACTGAATCCAAGTTTTACAGAACAAATCCTTTCATTAAGGAGATTTGTTCTGTGAAGTTTGGATTCAGTCAAAGGGCCACACTTGAGGACCTAGAGGGCAGCATGTGGCCTCAAGGCCACAGGTTCCCCAGTCCTGTTCTAGAGAGTTAGAGGTAGAGCTGGGAGAGGGGAATGAAACATGGCTTCACTGGGGGATCTGGAAGGAGCTCAACAATGAGAGAAGGAGACCAGATTGGCAGAGAGATGTTCTAGGGTGAGAAGACAGCTGAGTAATGGAGGCAGAGTCTGGAGAGAGCGCAACTAGGAGGGATCAAATGCAAAATACTTTGTTAGGTGTTTGATGCCCTTCATAATCTAGCTGCCCCTTCCCCCCATCTTTCCAATCTTCTTACATCTTATCCCCACTACATGCTCTTCAGTCCTCCTAGCTGTTCCATTAATATGACATTCCATCTGTCAGCTCTGGGCATTTTCTCTTTCTGTCCCCCATGTCTGGAATGCCTTTCCTCCTCATCTCTGCCTATTACCTTCCCTGGATTCTTTTAAGTCCCAACTAAAATCTCTTTTTCTACAGGAAACCTTTCCCAACCACTTTTACTTCTAGTGCCTTCCTTCTGTAAATTATTTCTTATTTATCCTGCACATAGCTTGTTTGTACACATTTTTTTGCTTATTGTCTCCCCCATTAGATTATGAGCTTCTTCAGAACAAGGGCCGTCTTTTTCCTCTTTTTGTATTCCCAGGAAAAGTGTCTGGGACATAGTAGGTGCTTAATAAATATTTATTAACTAACCGAAGGGAAGTAAATAAAGTTAATGGAACATTGATCTGCATGATAATATGGTAGACACTGGTCCATATTAAGTTATATGGACACAAGTCCCTTTCCTAAGGTTATGTGAAATAAACAGCCAAATGATGTAGTGAATTTTCATTTTTCCATGCCAACAGAAGGGAATGTTAGTTTAGAGTTTTGAAATGTACATATAATATCATCACAGCAAGAGTGTCAGGAAATGACTCCTGGATTACACAATGAGGTTAAACTGTGTTCGAGGATTTGACTGAATACTGAGATGTGATCACATGGTATCTTGTGGAGTTCTTAATTCCCTGGATCAGTTTATCTTCTCTTGTAGCTTCAAGAATCACAGATGACTCCCAAGTCAAGCATCTTCCAGCCCTGACTTTTCCTCAGTTCCTTATTTCCACCTGTCTACAGGACATGAGCCCTTACATATTTTCCCATCACCTTGAACTAAACAAGCCCCAAAGCAAAGTAATTATAACTCCCCTGTTCCCAAAATGGCTTCCTTTCTCCACTATGTCCCATTCATTGGTATCACCACCAGTCTTTCAGTCTCCCAGGCTAGACACATGTGAGTCATCTTTTACTCTTCCATCTACTTTCTAGGTCGTTAGGTAGTATTGTGGATAGAGCACTGGATTTGGAGTCAGGAAGATGTGAATTCAAATACAGACTCAGACACTTACTAGCTGTATGACCCTGGGAAAGTCACTTAACTTTTCTTAGCTTCAGTTTCTTCATCACTGAAATGAGGATACTAATAACACCCATGTCCCAGGTCTTTTATAAGGATCAAATGAGATAATCCTTGTAAAGCATTTTGCTAACCCTAAAATGCTATATAAACGCTAACTATTGTTGTTGTTGTTGTAATTTTTACTTTATGCCATGTAAGCAATCTCATTCTTGTAGTTTAGTATTTTGTACTTTGGCACCTATAGAATTCATCAGTGTTTGTAGTCCCTCTACCAGTTCAGATTCCAATCCATTAATGCCACTGAAAAAAATCTTGTCTTTTTTTTTTTAATGAATCTACCATTGAGAGTCTTTTCAAATGCTAAAGGCTTTCTTCTCATTGTTTTAATGTTTTTGGGAATATCAGTATACAACTTGGGTTGTCTGTCCATTATCCCATTTTTGTTATTTGATGAATCCATCTCTTTTTCCATTCAAACATTTTCTTTAATATTGTTTGTGCCACTTCTCATGTTCAGACTATCATTTGTTGCTTATAGCATTTGTTCTTGTCTTCTCTTTTGACTTACCTGCAACATCAATACTTCTGAGACTCAGCTGCTGCAGGATTCACAACCATGTCCAGTCACTAGGAAACTTTTAATGTTAACATGAAATCTGTGTGGCACTTTTTGGGGATATATCACTGTGAATGCTGTGTAGTTTCCTAAATCCTCTCCTCCTGCTCTGTCATTCTGCCTGGTTTTTCTAAAGTGTGCATGTCAATGAACTAATTCAATGGGCTCCCCTGTTATACTGCATATTTACATCTGTGTAATGTGAATTTCTCATATTCTTTAATTCTCAATATATTGAATATTCATTATAAAGCATTGCATACCTGGCGTTGCAGTGATACAAAAATGGGAAAGATCCAGTCCCTATCTTCACTGAGCAGAATATTATCTATTTGGGAGACAGAGAGATAAGGACCTAGAGTCATAGAGCATGAGGAGGTTGGCATTAGTTTGAAGAGGGGAATAAGGAAAGAGTTCTTGAGATCCAGAGGAGAGAGGGGTGGCATCTCTTCCTGTTGAGGACATCCAAGAAGGTTTCATCAAGGTCTGCATCTGTACTTGAGGGTTGAATTTGGGAGTTTGTGAGAAACAGAGAATCAGGAAGATAGTGTTCCAAGTAAATGGTATATGTGAAAGGCAGGGAAGCAGGAAAGTTGGAAAGCCTTAGGTATGTTTGAGGAGTAGTAGATAATCCAGTTTGCCATATTCTGAAATAAGATTGGGAAGATTGCCATTTGAGGTGGACCTTGAAAGCCACATTGAAGAGTTGGGGCAGTAATCTGTAGTCTGAGGAGCCATTAGAAGTTTTTGAGCAGTAGAGTGATATGATTAAAGCTCTGCCTTAGGAAAAAGAATCTGCAGCAGTGTGTTTGCTGAATAGTGCCAGGAAGACCAGGTTGGAGCCTTTTGCATTAGTCAGAGTGAGAGATGATGAGGGCCTGGATTAGGGTGAATGGAAGGGAAGGTGGTAAATAAGAAGTGTTAGAGAGGGAGAAGGGATAGGACTTCAGAAATTATTAGAGTTGGTGGGGGAGGGGGAAGAAGAAGAGGGATGAATTAAAGGTGACTTGTAAGGTTTTGAGCCTTGGGTGATTGGGAGATTGGAGGAACCATCCACATAAATGAGCGCTTCAGGATGATTAGTTAATTTGGGTCGCTGTTAGGACATCCAATAAGTAGTTGGAGATAGGATACTGGAATTTGGGGAAGAAATAGAGAGTTTCTTCCTTCTAAATAGCTCTGTTTTTCTCTTTAATGTCCACTTCCTTTACTTCACACTTGCATTATTGTTCCTGCCTTCAGCTGTCCTTGCCACTGATCCATCTGTTCTCCATTGTCCTTTCTCAAGAGAATCCAGGACCAGTTTGGTTAAATAAGGCATTCGGGAAGGAACTCTTTGTTGCTAAAATGTAGAGGAGATGTGTCTAATTTGGCAAACCACCTAACTTGCATGGATTTCCATAGTGGGTGGGGGATTAATTGCCAGATGGATCAGTGACCAGATGGCATCCATGAAACCATCCATTCCTTGGACCCAGGGAGCTCCAACGGGGAAAGGTATTGTTTATTGGATTGACTTGTCCAGGCCTACTCATTCTTTAAGACTCTTCTTGGGCTCCACTTGCCAGAAAGTACCCATTACAGCCACAACTTATTTCTCCCTCTGCTGATTTCTATTGCATTTGTTTCCTCAACTACTCTTCTGACAGTCAATCATTTATGGTTTTGCATGTGCCTTGTCTAACTGGATTGTAAACTTCTGGAGGGTTATATTTTATAAAACAGTTTGGGACAAATAATGAGCAGCCAATAAATGACTGAGTTGATGGTGAGTAAATTTGAATACTGATTTTGTGTCACCTTGATCTGATCACTTAAAGAAATTATCTGCCAGAGCATTTATTTGTGAAGTGGATATTACAAGAGGCATTCACACCTCCCTCACTTGGAGAAAAACTTTGATACTTTTGTCAGTTTTGATGCCTAACTCTGGGACCTTGGGCAAGTCACTTAACCCAGATGAGTATTCTTATCTGAAAAATGGGGATAATAACAGTACCTACCTCCCAGGGTTATTGTGAGGATAACATGAAAGTATTTTTAAAGTTCTTTGCAAACCTTTAAACACTATATAAATGCTAGTTATTTTGAGGCTTTGATAAGAGAAAATTCCTAGCAGATTGCTGTGATTTGCCTCATTAAATAATGCCTGAGACAAAATTAAAAATCTCTTACCCACTTGAGTGGCATTTATTTTTCACTAACAGATTTCATTTTTTTGAGTGGGTGAGGTTTTGTGTGCCTTTTTATTTAAATTGTACAGAGGTATTAGGGCGACTGAGCT